TACTACTAGAAATTTCCAGTGCCCATAGTACCTTGGGGAGCAGTTTGGTGTACACTTCCTGAGGAAAGAGACGTGTCTGCATGGTAGTGACCACTGGTTCTTCCTCCTCCGACAATTCCCATTCTTCCTTAGTGGATGAGGCATCAGACACCTCAGAATCCGCCTCATGAGAATCCATTAGGGGACTGGGCTCCCTACTGGGCCGGGAAGAGGCCATGTTTCTCCTCTTGGAATAATGGGAGGGAAGCTGCTCTGCCAGCCCCTTTACCTCGGGAGGCACTGCTGGAGAAGGCCTGCCTTCATTGACTGCTGGGGGAATTGGCAGGGGGTTTTCTGCTCTGGTTAGTCTGACTCATAGCCTCCCTGATTTCCCTCCTCATCTCCTTGTTAATCCAAGTTAGAAAGTTGGCCTGGGTGTTTCCCCCTGAGAGGTCTAGGATCTGAATTTCTTTTTTCTTTTTTTGCATCTCAGGCTGAGAGCCTGGGATGGAGGTGGAGGTTGGGGAATAAGGAAGATCCAAATCCGAGACCATGCTTTCAGGAGGCTGAGAAGCTGGGAGGCCTGCCTTCGTAGCCATTTCCCTCCTATGTAAGGAGCTTTCCCTAAAAGTGAAACGGAAAGTACTCCTTCCACTGATAGGCAAACCCCACCAATTTTATCAGGCTTCGGCCTTACTGGGATTCAGGAGGGATGGATTGGGCTAAAGCTGCAGGCGGAGCAATATCTTGAAGCCGGTCCCTTCTGTAGCCTCAAAAGCCGCATTTGGGGCCAAGGAGCCATGGTGCGACTGCTGCTGGCACTTCAAGGCCTCCCAGATCAATGGAGGAACTGCTGGTGCTGGGGCTGGAAGCTCTGCCAAAGAGCCAGTGTGAGAAGTGCCATGGCAAGAGAGAATATCCCCATTGCCATCGGCTCCCATCTCCTTGCCGCCATGGAAGTTCACCACTGGTGTGTGGCACAATGGGAAGGGGGGGGAGCCTCCCCTTTCTCTACAAGCCTGGGAGTCTTCTCTCCCCTGTTGAGTTGCTCCGATCTTCTTCAGATTCCAATGTTCTTAGGAGCAGTGTAAGATATGCCCTGCTTCCACAGCAGGGCCAAAGAACTGGAGAGTTCTGGGATAGGCCCCTCCCCTCCGGACTGCAAAAGGTTACGACCCTGCCACAGGAGAGGAGGAGTCAGGATCCCAGAAGCGAAGACTGGCCACTGGAGAAGCTATAACAACAGAACTGGAACCTGGTATCTATCTGGGGAAGGAAATTTGATTAAGTTGCTTTTGAGTTGTCAGGTAATGCACAACCCTGTAAAATGTAGTATGGGATAAACACACAAATTCCCATTACATTCTTTCAAACTATTTTTTAGCCAGCAGATTGGTGTAAGAAGCCTTGGTGCTGCAGAATCTCAAAACATTTCTAGAGCACAACACCTGTTCTGCAGCTTCTAGTTACAAAAGATCTCTTTGGACCTCAAAGAAGCTTCCACCACACATTCCATGGAGACTCCTATCTGAGCTTCCTCTCTCCTTCAATGTTCAAGGTAATTCCAATGGAAGATAAGGTCACTCCCAATTTATTTTCTTTGCTGCTAAGGACTGAGTTGGCAGTACTAGTCTGGGTGGAACACAAACATCCTCCAACATCGACAAAGGGTGGAGAAGGTTGCATCAGGAAACCGGCAATGGGGGAGCTAACAGAAGAGCCTGGCTGGCTCCAGTTAATCACACCAATTAAAGGCCCTCAGCCCCATACCAGTTCAGCCTAAAAATGCTGAATGTTGCCCTATTCTCTGCTATCCATAGCTTTGTTTCATACAACTGATTCTCAAGCACTACAAAGGTCTCTTTTTTCTGCCAACTTCCCTCATGGACACTGCTGCTCTCTGGCAGGTTGTGAAGAGTGACAATGTATTTTTCTCTCTCCCTTGAAAGTACTTATATTCTGCTTTCCAATGAGAATCATAGAGGCTTATGTCAGTAAAAAAAGCACATTGGCAAAACTCCCCCTTACAGTGTGTGTAAAGTGCCATCAAGTTGCAGCCGACTTACAGCAGCTCCATAGGATTTTCAAGGCGAGAGCCATTCGGAGGTGGCTTGCCACTGCATAGCAACCTTGGACTTCTTTGGTGGTCTCCCATCCAAGTACTGACCAGTGCCAACCTTGCTTAGCTTCTGAGATCTGACAAGACCAGGCTAGCCTGGACCATCCAGGTCAGGTCAGCTTCTGAAATCTCTGCAAGGCTGGGCCTTCTTCACATTCACAAGAAGCCTATTCCATAAAACAGGAGTGACCACCAAGAAAGTCCAAGACTGAGCAGAAACAGTTCTCAGTAACTTGGGGGGGGGGGGACAAAAGGTTCTGCAGATATGGGGTTCCCAGACCGTGGAAGGCTTTAAAGGTAAATAGCAGCACCTTGAATTGAACACAGAAGCAAACTGGAAACCACTGTAGCAATCTTCAGCTTGGGGTAATGTGTTCGTAACGCTTAACCCATCAAGTCTAGCTGCCATGTTTTATACAATGTATAGTATACATTGTCTTTTCAGGGGCAGCCCCACACACAGCACATTCTGACAGTACAATTGTAGCATGGATTAGTGTGATCAGCTAGGTAAGCTGAATCTGAAAAGGGGGGACTATTTCTGTGCCACGTGATTTTTTTTTTTTTTTTTAAATGTCCAAAATGGCAGGGAACACACTTCTGCAGATTTTGGTTTCACAAGCTGATCACAAGGCAAATTTCCTACCCTCCTCAGAAACTTCATTCAGGCTGTTGAGTAGCATATCAGATTCATCTGGCAATTGTAACTGAAAGTCTGGGCAGGTTATTATTAAAACTGAGCACCTGCCAACTCCTCAAGCAACACTTTGCTTCTGGATACTGTAGAAGCTGTTATTAGGATGGAAGCTTCCCTGCATACTATTATTCTAAAGTTCCCCACATGGATAAATCCTTTCGTCTGACGCAAGGACTACAAAGGCTGGGGTGAGAGAGCTTGCCTTGAATTAGCATTTATGTCAAGCTAGTTGCAGTCAAGTCTTTGGAGAAAGATAATCAAGTTCCTGTCCTTTTTTCCCCCTTGAGGCAAATGTAGGCATAGCCATAGAATGGTTTAAAGGTAAAGGTTCCCTTGCTCGACAGCCAGTCGAGTCCGACTCTAGGGTTGCGGTGCTCATCTCCGTTTCAAAGCCGAAGAGCCAGCGCTGTCCGAAGATGTTTCCGTGGTCATGTGGCTGGCATGGCTAAACACCAAGGTGCACGGAACGCTGTTACCTTCCCACCGAAGTGGTACCTATTTATCTACTTGCAATTTCTTGCTTTCGAACTGCTAGGTTGGCAGGAGCTGGAACTAGAGACGGGAGCTCACTCCGTCATGCGGCACACTCGGGTCTCAAACTGCTGAACTAACGACCTTCCACAGCCTGCAGTTCAGCGTCTTAACCACTTGAGCCACCGCAGCTCCAGAATGGTTTAGATGTCCCCAATGAATCACCAAGCTTATTTAAATACTCAAACCCCACATGCCTCATAGTACAGAGTACCCAATGTGGTGCCCATGGGTACCATAGTGCCCACCTATATGTTTTCAGGTGTTCACTAGGTTCTTCGCCCAAGGCATCTTTTTCTCCAAAGCAAACAGTCCATCCTGGATATCTTCCACTTCACTGGTGCCAGAGGTGCCTCAGAAAAACCCAGGAGGCACTGACGTTATATTGCAGGGAGCACCCACCAGGAAACACCTGGTTCCATTATAGAAGGACGCTTGTGGCTTGGAATCTGCCAAGATTTTGTGGTTGGACCAACCCCTATGGGGTTTTTTAATAGTTTTAAAATTATTTTTGGTAACAATTTTTTGTTGTTACCACTACCGTGGCAACCATTTGTTTATGGCACCTACTACCTGCTCTTAAAATTCCAAATGTGACCTCAGGTTAAACAAGTTTGTGGACTCCTGGCATAGACAGCTAGTGTAGTGTAGGGATCAGAGTGTCAGGCTAGGATCTGGGAGACCCAGGTCTGAATCCCCCCCACTTTGCTGTGGAAGCTTGCTGGGTGGTCCTGGGCCATTCACACACTCAGCATAACCTACCTCAGAGGGTTGTTGTGAAGATAAAATAAAGGACAACAGAGTGATGTAAGCCACTTTGGGAAGAAACTCAGAATATAAACTAAGTAAGCAAATAGACTGAAGATAGCAAGCTTGCATCTGTTTTAAATATTATTAATCTCGTCTCTGTTTTATCATAGGTATAGCATCACCAAAAGGAAGCAACTATTTACCTCTATCTTGTCAAACCTAAGAAGCCCATCTGACAAATGAGGGTGGTTTTTCTCCCCCCATTTGCCCTCCATTTTTCTAATGCTCACAGTGTAATAAATCCTTTCCTTCCTCAAGAGGAAATGAAGCACACAGGACAAGGCAACCTCCTCAAGGAGTCTCCTGTCACACCACACTGAAGCGACAATGGCTGAAACAGTAGCAGTGTGAGATTTATACGCTGCTTTCAACCTGACAAGGAATGCCCTGGCTGGGCCATGCAAAGCCTGAAGTGGCATGAGACTGAGCAAGTTGCTTCCAGTTTGACCACCTCTTTTCTCTCCATAACATAAAGAGACATTTTAGAGACCCCTGTGGGGGCTCCCTCATGGTACTCTCTGCCTCTAACTTTTTCATTGTGACTCTGATCTTGGGAAGTAGTTCCAACTAGATCAGAAGTGGTTTGCAGAGACATAAGCACCACTTTCACCTGTCTCAGAGATGTCTTTTCACACAGTGTTCTCTGCTGCCTCGTCTTCTCTGAAACAGATTGCTTGGGAGTCTGGGGGGAAGGTCCTTCCTGTGACACCAAGCTTAGATCTAGCATCTGCTTCCTAGACAATACTCTGAGATTTAGCAAGGTTTGGAGGGTGTACTGTGTGTTATCCTGTATAGACAAGCACACTTGCCAGGGGAAAGCTATTGTCATAGAGAAAAAAATGCTCAAAAAACACTGCTTCTTACTTCCAATTTGAATTGACTTCTAAAAATCGAGAGACTCCAGTTTGTGCTGAGGCTGCATCAATGTGGACAGAAACATCTGAAAAGAGAACAAATTGTGCCTTAATACAGGAATATTTGAGAGCATTATATACAGCATATAACTGAAAGGGCCAACAAACAGAAGTGTGTTTCTGCAACAAGATACTAAAGTATCTGACTTGGATACAATCTATTTCCCTCACATGAGTTTCCTCTCAGACACTGCAGATGAGATGCAGAAACAGAAGTACATCTGCTTGTTAGCACCTTCACATACAGAGTGCTGCTATCAGTCTACACAAACTTCTGTGAGAATCTGTCTTGAACAGAATATGAATTCTTGATCATTCCAAATAAACTAATCCCTACCATTCTGATGTAATCCACAGGAGTCTCAAAATGGTCATAGTGGAGAACAGTAATGAAAAAGGAGAGACAGGACTCCATGGGAAGGAGTGAAGATGGGATGGGGGGGGGGAGGCCCTGAAGAAAGCAGACGTCACCCACTTTATAGAATACTAGCCTGATACCCGTGCTTTGCTATGGTATTTAAGTGCCGTAAATCCAGTTATAATATTGATGATGTGAAGTTTGAAATGTGACATTTGTTGTAGGAATTCTAGTGGAGAAGATTGTAGTGTAAGAAATGAAGTGAGACATACGTACTTTCCCCCCTCCCTCTACCTCCTTGTAGCATTGGTGTATCTGGCTCAAAGTTTGCCAGGAGCTTTCTTGGGGGCAGTAAGAGGTGAGAGGTGTGAGGGAGTGGTGATGTGGTGGACATTTCTTCAGGTTCATGAGGGAGGCATGCATCAAAATGGCTCCTAGAAATGTCCTTTACTATCTCCCCATAAACATTCATACCCTGCCCCTGCTCCTACACCGGACAGACACCAGCTTGTCTGGTGTTGGGGGGGATTGTATTTAAAGGCATCGGGGAGGCTGGGCCAGTAGTAGGGCTAAGGCAATCCTGCTGAGAAAACCTCTCCGGTGGCTGTAAACATCCCACCTCCTCTCCTACACCTGACAAGCAGCTGCCTGTCCAGTGTAGGACGGGGAGGGGGGAGGAGTATTAGAAGCCACTGTGGAGGCAGGGCTGGCAGGATCACTAAGACGTTAATGCTGGGGCAGGCTCCCTTGTGGCTTTAAGCACCCTGCAACCACTACTGCACCTGACAGACAACCGCCTGTTAGGTGTAGGAGGTGGGGGAGTGTGTTGGAAGCCATCAGAGAGGCTGGGCCAGCAGCATCACTAAGGTGATCCTGCTGGGGTGGCATCCCTGATGGATTAAAGTACCCAGGTCCTGCTCCTACACCTGACAGACACTGGCCTGCCTGGTGTTGGGGAGGGGGAATTGCATTTAAAGGCATCAGGGAGGCTGGGCCAGCAGCAGTGCTAAGGCCATCCTGCTGCACCTGACAGACAGCCGCCTGTTAGGCGTACGAGGTGGGGGGACTGTTGGAAGCCATCAGAGGCTGGGCCAGCAGCTTTGCTTCACCTCACAGGTGGTTCTTGGCCACTCAGAACACTGAGCTCTGCAGCTGACCAATTAGAGAGTGGGGGGTGCAGGGAGGCAGCTTCCTGGCAGCTGCATAGGAATCAATGGGGGGAGCACATTTTACCCCTTTTGACCCACTTAGGGGTTGAATTTCTAAAAATCCCTTCTTAGTGAGCTCTCCCCAAATTTGGTGTCTCTAGATCCAGCGGTTTGGCCTGGGCATTGATTTTACAGTGAGAGGTCTTTCTTTTATATATATAGAAGTCAAAAACGTCTGGGGAACTGCCAGGTGTGTTAGGATAAACTTTTTGTCAACTGAAAGCCTTCCTTCAGATACCTCTTATAAGGTTTGTCTCAGCCTTACCGAAGCAGTGTGGGACCTCACTAATTTGATGGTCGGCACAGACGTCTGTTGGAGATGCTATACCTCTAGATTTCCTGCACAGAGAAGTGGTTTGGCCCCTTCCAACTATATGACTCTTGCTACTAGGCTCTGGCTAGATTTTCCCTCAGAGACCTCTGTCTTGCTGCCATCCTGCTTTAAAGTTCCTTGAAAGGCCTCTCAGCTGACTGTGCAGTTCTTTCCTCTGCCAAACAGTTCTTCATCTCGCCACAATCAATCACTATGGTTCTTGTCTGTGTGAACAGTACTGGCCTACACTCCAAGTATTACAACTATTCTATCAACACGGTGTTACTCCACCATGAAGAACAATGTTGTAAGCTGCTTTGGAGGCCCACTGAGGAGAAGAGCAGGATATTCATATCTGAATGAATGAAAGAAGCAGTTTTGAGAAGGGAGGATTCAGAGTGGAGAAGATCTAGGATCCTTAACTTACCTCAAGTAGGATGTTCAAGAAGTGACTAATAGATGCCCATCACAATAGCCCTATTTATTTCATTTCTCTTGTCCAAGCTGCACTCCCCTTTTCTTCCTCCCACCATTTACAATATAAACGTTTACATTATATGGCCTAAGGACTGTCAGATGTACAAGCTACAAGCTTCTCCTACAGTTTCACCTCAGCTTTACGCACTTTTGGTTGGAGGCACCAACTGGTGCAATTTTTGCATCGCAACTCCTCCAGGATAATTGAAGTGTGATACGTAGAGTGACACACCCGAGTAAGCTGCATTTGCTAGCAGGTGCACTACAACAAAGAGAGATCCCAACTTATACAGCCAAGATTTCTTGTAATTGTTTAGTCTGTAGAGATAACAAAAATTACACCAGAGTTAGTGCTATTTCCTCTGCTTATGTACCAGAACACATAGTTAAAAATGGTTTCACAGTTAGTTACAGGAGAGAATAATTATGAATTCTCCTGAAGGAGCCAAATTTGCACTGTAATCCTAAACAGCTTTACACCCGTCTAAGCCCACTGAAGGGTTTCTGTGGCAGAGCTACGGATCTGAACCTAGGTGTCTCAGATGCTGGCTTGCACTGGGAGTCTTCCAATTATTTCTCCAGAGAAATTTCATTATTTAATAAGCCGTTCAATATTCTGTATAGAATATAAAGATACTTAGATCTTTTTTCTACACTTTGTATTAACATGTGCAAGGTATCCTTGGAGGCAACTTTGTTATCTGTAAGGACAGCTCTTCAACATAGTGCCTTATGGGGGTAGTATCTCTCTAGTAGTATATGATAGATCTTTTCTGCTAAATGGAAACATTGATTGGAAATCTGACACACTGAAACTGGAGACAGCAGTATATAGAATTCCTTCCTTCCTTAAGATCCAAAGAACTCACGTACCAATGCTTTTCCTTGAACCACCACCTTAAATAACTTGAGGGTCACAGAACCTCTGGGATGGTATGTAATTTGTCACAGGGAGACACATCTACAAACCACCCATTGTTTATTTGCAGAAATCCCTTCTACTCTTGTGCAGAGCTGTTTAAATCCCAGCTAAATTGAATGCAGTCAGCTGGTGCATGCAAATAGATCCCTCTACTCCACATGCCACTATTTGTGTCTCCAACCAGGATTTCTGTTGCGCTTTCTGCAAAGTTCTGTACTCTCTTATGGACGACACTATAATCTTTCACCTTACTTGCTGATACATATCTTAACAATAGGATTCCAATCAATTTCATCTGGTTTGCTAAACTTCTGAACATAATGGAACACAACAAATTAAAACTTATTTCTTCTAAGTGATTAAAGACCTGACAAGCTATGAACAGTTTTCCTGTGTGAAGGCAATAAATTTACACATACAAATAATACCAAACTTACATCCGAGAGCAGCCTTTGGCAGCCACTATGTTGAAAACTGGGAAAGTATATATGATAAACCGAAGTTCTTTATGTGGCAAAAACGAATATAAGAAAATAAAGCCAATCGCAGGTAGAATCAAAACTCGGATTCTTCTGTCTACTGCACCTAGTGGTATGAAAAGAATACTGCACCCCAGACCTCGAGGCAAGGCTGAATAAAAATACCACAAGAAAGGAGAGGTCTTCAATAGAAAAAGAGTTAAGGATTCTTTAAAACAAACTGGCTTGTATCCTACAAGTTGCTTCCAATAATGAAAGGGCACTTCTGTCATGGGGGGGGGGCGCAATGTGCCCTCTAAGCTCCACAGTGCTCTGAGCAGAAATTATTTTAAGAATAATTTAAACATTATAAGAAAAAACAGAATCAAGTCAAATTTCACCCACCCCTTTGCACTATATTGGCTCCAGAGAACAGGTCTGCCCACCCCTTTCCATTGTATTGGTAGACCTGTCCTCCAGAGAACAGGTCTACCCACGCCATCCCCAGTCCATTATATTGGTAGACCTGGCCTTGGACCATTGCCCTGTGCTGAGCCTTAGAACACATACCGGCACTTGGGGGGTGGGAGGGACTCTTGCAGTTTTTTGTGGGTTTTTTAGTGAAATATGATAACTAGCATTACAGAAGGAGGAATAATCACTGTCAGAGCAATCAGTGTCAGAACACAGAGGAGAAACAATCACTGTCAGAACTCCGCCTAACTAACAAACAGGAAGTTGCTTAAATGTTATCAACCTGCCCAAACTACTTATTTATTCAAATATTTATATCCTACTTTCCCCTGTGATTCAAAGCAGCTTACAAATCATACTGAAAAGTATAATAGCAGCATGAAAAAAATGTTTCCCCCCGGCTTCATTGTAGCCTATGGGGATCACTATAGTCAAAGGGCCCCATAGGCTACAATGGAGAATCAATCTGGGGGTATCTGGAGCTTGGAGGGGGGCTGGTTTTTTTGGGTAGAGGAACCAAATTTGCAACATAACTGCTGGTGCTTCTCCCCAAAAACTTCTTCGAGTTTCAAAAAGATTGGACCAGGGAGTTAAATCCTATGGGCCCCATAAGAAGGTTCCCCCATCCTATATTGTTTCCAGTGTTTCCTTGAGGGCAGAAGCAGAAATCCCTGTGCTGCTTTTTAAAGTTTTCGCAGCTTAGAGGGAACAATGGGGGGGATTCTGCTCGTTTGGCTCTTTCATTGCAAACCTCCACTTTGCATCCTGTGCTGTTCATGGGAGTCCATTGATCCCCCAAAAACAAACTTCTGGAGAGCTTGAGGGCTCCAGTGGAAAGGGGAAGAGGGAAAAATCCCTCCCCACAAGCTTTGCTCCACTAGTACTTATGATTACCATCCAAATTTGCCTTTGAGAAAAATTATAATTTTGTATTGGGTCAGGCCTTAGGAATCCTTTTCTGCAAGGGAGGAGTTTTCCTCCAACAGGGAAGCAGAAGGAAGCCCCCTGGGTCCAATCCAGTGTTGGACCCCTTAGGTCTAATGCCTTAGTCTGTGTCATCCAAAGCAGGTTCACATTAGTGCATATGCACAAATACAGACACATACACATTTCCAAATTCCCCTTCTCGGGCATACCAGAGTTTTGTGAAATGCAAAGTTCAGCTGATTGACTTTCCCTGTCAATTGTTTTGCAGCAGTCCAACCACTTTCAAGCAGCTGAACTGTTTCAGTGCTGTAGCAAAAGAAGGTAATGCTTGCTGAACATCCTCCTTCCATGACGCTGCTCAAGACACAGTGATACTCATAAGAAAATGGAGTTCCACAGAAGTGCTGTGGGAATTATAAGGCCTCTAGAGTTCAAGTCAGCTCCAAGCGCTAAGAGCTTGTATTTTTGTTGTCTATGTTCTCCCATGCAGTTTCAATACTGCAATTTGGAAATGCTTCCAAGGAAGCGAGAAAGGGATCTTCTTTAACACCTCCTACTGACCTCCGCAAGACAAGTGAGATCTGGAACCTCCTCCCCAGATAACCATCGTGTAGACAATAAAGGATCTCATTCTGGATTGAAAAAGAAGTTTCAGAATTGGGTCCAACAAAACCATCTCATCAGCTGTGGTTTCTGATACTACATGATGTTGGATATAGGGAGGAGGAGGGCTTTTTGGTTTTTCTTTTTTTGGTTGAAACCATTTTTAACCTCCTATAATTAAACCTCTGGAATAAGTCTGACCTTGATTCAGCTTGGGACAGGGTCATAGCTCAGTAGAACCTGCTTTACATGCAGGAGGTCCCAGGTTCAATCCCTGGCATCTCCCATTAAAAGGATCAGGTAGAAGGTGACGTGAAAGACAACCCCTGGCAATCAAAGTAGACAGTATTGACCTTGACAGACCAATGATCTGACTCAGGAAAAGCCTGCTTCATGTTTTACCATAAATCCAACAATTAAAGGATACACCCCAGTTGGAACTTTTATTTAAAACAATGTTATACCAAAGCACTTTTCCTTCAGGCCATAGAACTTGCCTCCAAAACACAGAGTCTGTGACCACTGTGAATCCTAAAAGAAGAAAAATCCAAACAAGATAGAACTAGACAGAGAAGCCTCTGTTTTACAGCAATCTGATACATGCACAAGCATACACAGTGGTCCTAATCTGGACCAAGGTTCACAGAAAGCCTTCATATCAAACTGACACTGGTAGGATAAGGATGGATATCCTACAATGTTACTAGTGTTCTACTGGGTGACTCCTCTGCTTTGCGCTGTCTGAGCCACAGTGTTGTTAACAAGTCACTGGATCAAGAATGGTTTAGTGATGTACAATGAAAGCAAAAGATGGGTTTATAAGAGGCCCTAGTGTGTCAGGTCTACTTCACAGTGAGCTTTCAGAGTAAGCCTTGGGCTTGTACTAACCATACTCATAGGTCACATGGAACATTCCATAGTAACTGAGACTTATGCATTCGTACAGAACATCACCCTGTCAACACTCTCCTTTACAATGGTCAGAGCAGATGGACGGTATACCTGTGTACACATGTGCGTGTGTACTCTCATTCATATTAAAAATATGTGCCTGTAGGTAGAGCCTACCAGCCCTACTTTGGTTCAAACCCAAGTCAACAGAACTGGTATATGGACTGGGCTGAATTCAAGGACAATGCATACTCAGATAAGGATCTGTAGGTTGTCCCTTTTAAAAGAATACCCATTTTGCCCATCTTCTGACATAAATTCAAGACCTTATTAGTTAAACCATCACGCAACAATTTTGAAAGGGGAACACAGAAAATCAGACTGCTGAGTTCAAAAGGACTTACCTAACCAAAAAGCCCCAGCGGGTATGGCATAGGAAAGCATTTTCAGAACAGAAAGTCGTTTATTAAATAGGGTCACTAGAAGCATCAGACCCAGGAAGATACAAAGTTCAGCTCTGAAGACAATTATTGCCAAACTTGAGAACCAGATAAATGAGAATTGCTTTTGCTGAATCCATGATGTAGCTGCCAGCAGAACTGGTTACCAAAAAACAAACAAACAAGCAAAACACTATGTTAAGGTCAGAAGTGACAAGGTAGCTAATAACCACACATTTTAAAAAGAATAATAATGATAGCATTTAAAGCACCCAGCTGAAAATGGCCTCAGTTAATCTGTAGCTGAAAGCCCATTTAAATGAAAAAGCTCTCACATTTTCTTCTGAAATTGTCTAGGCCAGAGGTCTGGAACCTATGGTTCAAGAACCCAGTGCATCTCAATATGGAACCACACATAGCTCTTCAAAGAAAAAAAGGGGGGGGGAGTCTTTCAGTCAAGGCATTTTGGAAGGGCAGATGGGATGCTAGAACAGCCAGTACATGCAGGGAATACAACAGAGATGCTTTACAAAAAAAGGGAAATGATTGTATTCAAGAGCTTCCAGTAATTTATGCCAGTGCACTAAAACAACTGTGCAGGGTGCTCCTGTGTGTATTTATGACTTATTGTGAGACCTCGTGTGTGCACAGTAAAAGACTGGCAACAAACAGTCTGCAGAAAATGTATGGACTATGAATCAACATATTAGTGCTGTTAAGGTGCATACTCTCAGTTATGAAAATGCAGTTTCTTACACTGCCTCTGTTGATCCTTTGCTGTGAATTTTGATGTAGTTAGGATTTTTAATTGTAAAAGGCCACAGGCCCCTGTATAAACTGACAGGGTTCTGTGTTGCCCCCCCCTCCCCATAAAACAAGCTCTTAATGGACAGGTAGGTTCACATTCCATGAGATAAGCCAGACAGGCAATAGGTAGTTTTGCAGATAACAAACAGCACTTGAACTCTGGAGAAAACCAGCTGTCAATGCAACAGACATAAATTGGCAGACTGGTTTGTCTTTCCACAAAATTCCATAAATGGTCTACTACATATGGTATCTGCTACTGTTTCTGAACATTGGGTTGTATCCAAGCATACCATTCTAGTGATGGAGACGGAAAGGTCAATTGTCACAGATTCCACTGTGAAGGCCTCCAGTTTGCCTCTCATGCAGTTCTTCAGCAGAATTTGGTGCTGATCTGTGGCCTATGAGGGGGGAAATAGGAAAGTCCCATTCCCCAAGCTTCATTCTGCTGGCAATGCTTTGCCTTCAGATCAGTGTTCCAAGAGCAACCATGTAGAAGGCTGGTTTACACTGTACTACAACACACAGGCTGTACTTCCAGAAGGGTGTCAACAGGAGTTTCAAGTTGGCATCATGCTTAGAAACTCAAGTATGATTCATCCACCGCTATCTCCATCTGCCCCCTGCCCCCCGGTGAATGGATGCTATGAGAAGGGACCTATTCACACAGGCACTTGGACAGACAGAATACACTTCATCAGGGGTAATTTTGTAGAAAAAGAGGTGCAGGAGCTCATTAGCATGACTCATTAGCATAACATTTGCATATGCCACACCCCCTGACATCACTGGAAGTGTGTCAGAAGGCAACACCCACCGCTCAGGCTCCACTGGATTGTTTTGGATTGCTAGCTATTGGGGGGGGGGGGCGTGCAGATCTGTCCTCACAGAGAAGGGAGAGCTTGTACCTGAATAAAACTTGGTCTTAAAGGTGCCACTGAACTGTTTTGGACCAGGGGGTTGGTGGGGGCTCTGCAACTTACCTGGCTGCTTCTTGCGCTGACTGAGGGCTGCTGGGAGCAGGGGGTGGGGCTTGTTGCATGTGCCCACCCCCTGGGCTCTTTACTGCTGGAGCTCCGCTCCTGTGTGCTCCTGCAGGAAATGACCCCTGCACTTCATCCAGATGTTTCACACATGTGCTCTAGGCCCTTTACTTTGGTGCTATGCACCACCTTATGCCAAAAATTCTCGTATTCAATTCTTGCGACTAGTACTACTAACGGATCCTCAAGCCGTTTTTTCCACCATTACATCTTAAGAGAGATACTGTGTTAAGAGTGGTCACACCTCACCTGGATAGTCCAGGTTAGGCTGATCTCATCCAATCTCAGAAACTAAGCAGGGTCAGCCCTGGTTGGTATTTGGATAGACCACCAAGGAAGTCCAGCGTTGTTATGCAGAGGTAGGCAATGATGGTAAACCACCTCTGAATCTCTCTTGCCTTGAAAACCCTACAGGGTCACTGTAAATTGATAGCAACTCAACAGCACTTTACACACACCCCTGAAATCCAGTCAAAATAAAAGGTTCACAATAATAACTTACCTACAGGAAGGGCAAACATGTTAGGGAGGGTCCGAGTACAGTAAAACATCAGGTGAAACTGAGTTGCAGTGATCAGACAGAAAACCATAGACACAGTTGAACCAAACTGCTTCCTGACTTCTTTGTGCAACCGCCACAAGGCATAAATCACACACAGCCCCAAGCTTCCGCGAGCTTTGATTAGAATAAAAAGAAAATGGATTTATCATCTGTGGTAGAAATAGTAAAGCTGAATGTTACGTGACAAAAATGTCTACATTAATTTGACTACATAATGGCATTGGAGACTACAGACAATTAATGATAACATTAAGGGAGACCACCCTACCATAAAAAGTCCTCCTTGATTTAAATAAGAGTTTGAATACCTATCACCTGGGTGTAGAACTTAGACATCTGCAACAGAGACAGCACACAGATGGCTGGGCTGGAAAGCAGAGCAATAAATATTGGACCAAGGAATGTTCTTGGTACAACTCCAGGAAATTCATGATGATCATACTGCAATTAAAAGAAATAAAGAAAATACAGAAACAATCACAACTGGAAAATAAAATTCATTCACTGATTCTAGTTCTGTATCTAAATGTTCCACTGAAATTTATGGAAGTACTCCAATAATGCAATCCTAAGCAGAGTTACAGACTTCTAAGCCCTTTTCAATGGATTTAGTAGAGTGTGGTTTGGTTGAGAACTGTACTATAAAATAAATAGTATAACAAAAAAACCCAAACACTAATAGCTCCAATGAGACTTACAATCACATAAAGAACTACCACTTCCAGGAATGAACACCTTAACTTGTTTTTACTGAGAACCACAATCCATTTAAGATGAAACACTTTATTCAAGAACACTCCTATGATCTCTCACAAAAGTCCCTTTGAGGTCACTGGGGCTTATTCCCTGGTAAATGAGCACAGGATTGCAAGCTAAGAGTCAGTTCACACATGTATGGCCTTCATACAGTTCTTCCTGAACATCCTCACATAAAGGGTTTGTCTGAAGAAATGTTCAGTCCAGACCAGCACACCATGGGTATCCTCTTAACACAGTTTCTCTACTGCTGCCACATTCATGAATATTGCAGCAAAAAACAGCAGCCTTGGTGCACCAAGTCACACAATTTGTGAGGTCCTTGTTCTCAGGTGTGGGCAGGAATGAACTCATGAAATATGTTCACATAGAGGAGGAGGAGGAGGAGGAGGAGGAGATTGGATTTATACCCCGCCCTTCACTACCCAAAGGTGTCTCAGAGCGGCTTACAAACTCCTTTCCCTTCCCCTCCCCACAACAGACACCCTGTGAGGTGGGTGGGGCTGAGAGAACTCTGACACAAACTGCTCTTTTTCAAGGACAGCTGTGTCAGAGCTTGTGACTGACCCAAGGTCACATCAGCAGGTGCAAGTGGAGGAGTGGGGACTCAAACCCGGTTCTCCCAGCTTAGAGTCCGCACACTTAACCACTACACCAAACTATTGTCCATCCAGATCTTTCAGCTTAACAATGGAGCACTGGTTCATACAATCTGTTTGTTCCTTGTCTTCAGAGATCATCAGGAACAACTGAGTGGTAGTGGAGGATGTTCACATCTGACGAACAACCCGTGACTACCTTTCAGTCAAATATTTCAGCTTAACTAGTCTCTGGATTGACCATTTATAACTATAACCTTGGTTAAAAGGAAGTCAAATTAAGATGTCAAACCTTTGAAGGGTCATAAATCTTTTCTCTATTAGTATTCAACTGTGTACATATGAACAACACATAAAAATTAAATAGAGTAAGAGTCCGGTAGCACCTTAAAGACTACACATCTTGATCTATCTGCATAAGAATTAAGTTCACTTTATTCTTTGACCACCACCACCACCACATCCTGTAGAAAAATTTGGTGCTTGTCTTTGAAGCCACCCAAATGACTGACAGATGCCTCAAAGTCCAACCAAGTGTGGAGCCAGATACATGTATGACATATTTTAAATGCTTTTATAAGTCTGCGAGCTGCTTTTTGTACATCTGTGAAGAAACAGCATTACTAACAAGTAGATAGGGTTTGGCCCTGAGTTTTAACTCCAATTGCTTGGACCCTATACCTTCCTTCTGCTTGTGCAGTACTGATTTCCTTTACAGAGACTGCTGAGTGCCTTTCCTTCACCATTAGATACTTTCTGCTCACACAAAACACATGAGCAGATCCTAGTGGAACACTCTCTACCACAAAACCTCACATTTGTAAGGAGGACAGTGGAAGGAGGTATTCAAGCCCTTATTTCCATTCTTCTGCACCCACCCAGAAATCTAGGGGAGGATAAGTAATTTGGGAGGCCTAACAATATGAAACCCTAATATGCTTTAAAGATCCTACTGGTTGTCTGAAACTCACTTTTTGTTCTAGCAAACCCCCAACAGCATGCTCATATATATTTTTTTAAGAGCCAAAGACTAAATTTACCTTTTCGAGGTCCAATTTATGGTACACAATGTCATGAATGGCCTGCAGGTTAAAGCTTTCCTCCACTTTGGTAAATGGGCAAATGGCTAAATGTGTGAAAGCAACTGCGATTATTAGGAAAAGCAGCAGGAACTGTCCTCCTCTGGTTTTCTTCTCAGCCATACTGGATTCAAAATTCTGATCTACATTATTATTGTGAGATCAAAAATGAAAAGAAGCATTTTTAAAATCTACAATGTGGGCAAAGGGCAGATCCCATAATTATAAGACTGGTAATTCACTATGACACTTTGAATTTGACACAGTCTATTCTAAAACACCGTAACATATCTATTTGTATCACCTCCATACTGGCTTCTGGATATTTATTTTACACTATTCTGTCCTTTTCCCAAGGAAGTTTGGGACAGCATACCTCATACCCCTCCATCCAGCTAATCCTCAGAACAACTCTGTAAGATAGAACCTAGGATGAAAATAACTGGCCCAAAATCATCTGGGGAGCTTCTTGGCTGAATATGAACCCAGGTCTCTGCAGTTGTACTCCAGCACACTACACCACACTGGATGGGTAGACTATATGGTATTACTCTTGTTTCTAAAGAAACATCGAATTACTTTACATCTATCCCCGTCATTCACTTACATACACATCAGAGGCAGAGTTACATCTTTCTTAAAAAAAACAAAAACCTTTAAAAAGTTATCTGAAAAGGGGTCACAGTTCCTACTCTAAGCCCCCCATGAGAAGTTAAGCCAGGTCCCTTTGCATGATTCAACTGGCCATCAGGGGCTCATCCAGAAGGGATGATCTCATAAACATGTCGGGAAACTGAGGAGCTAACAGGGAGTATATTTACTAAGGTGGAGTTGATTTCGTGATAGCTACACACCTTCCAGAAATTAATTAATCTAACAATTAAAAAAACTTAATTCCACTCTATGGTTTGCCATTCCAGTTGCAGAACACAGAGTCTATCCCCAAGCTCTGTCATTCCAGTCCAAGAACATATCTCCTACCCACAGGGACTCTCATTCCACTCTGGCGCCTGTCATTCCAGTCCCAGAACACTCCTGCTACCCTCAGGGGCTGTCATTCTACTCTGGGGCCTGATATTCTAGTCCCTGAACACTCCTGCTACCCTCAGGGGCTGTCATTCTACTCTGGGGCCTGATATTCTAGTCCCTGAACACTCCTGCTACCCTCAGGGGCTGTCATTCTACTCTGGGGCCTGATATTCTAGTCCCTGAACACTCCTGCTACCCTCAGGGGCTGTCATTCTACTCTGGGGCCTGATATTCTAGTCCCTGAACACTCCTGCTACCCTCAGGGGCTGTCATTCCACTCTGGGGCCTGTCATTCCAGTTCCAGAACACTCCTACTACCCCCACGGGCTGTAGGTCTCTCCGTGGTCTCTCATTCTAGTCACAGACCACTCCTACTACATCCAGGGGCTGTCATTCTACTCTGGGGCCTGATATTCTAGTCCCTGAACACTCCTGCTACCCCCAGGGGCTGTCATTCTACTCTGGGGCCTGATATTCTAGTCCCTGAACACTCCTGCTACCCCCAGGGGCTGTCATTCTACTCTGGGGCCTGATATTCTAGTCCCTGAACACTCCTGCTACCCCCAGGGGCTGTCATTCTACTCTGGGGCCTGATATTCTAGTCCCTGAACACTCCTGCTACCCCCAGGGGCTGTCATTCTACTCTGGGGCCTGATATTCTAGTCCCTGAACACTCCTGCTACCCCCAGGGGCTGTCATTCTACTCTGGGGCCTGATATTCTAGTCCCTGAACACTCCTGCTACCCCCAGGGGCTGTCATTCTACTCTGGGGCCTGATATTCTAGTCCCTGAACACTCCTGCTACCCCCAGGGGCTGTCATTCTACTCTGGGGCCTGATATTCTAGTCCCTGAACACTCCTGCTACCCCCAGGGGCTGTCATTCCACTCCGTGGTCTCTCATTCCAGCCCCAGACCACTCCTGCCACACCCTAGGGCTGTCATTCCAGAATATTCCTACTACCCCTAGGGGCTGTCATTCCACTCCGTGGTCTCTCATTCCAGCCCCAGACCACTCCTGCCACACCCTAGGGCTGTCATTCCAGAATATTCCTACTACCCCTAGGGGCTGTCATTCCACTCTGGGGCCTCTCATCCCAGTTACAGAACACTTCTGTTACTCCTAGGGTCTGTAATTCCATGCTGTGGCCTGTCATTCTAGAGTAGTCTCTTTGGGCCCAGAGACCCTAATGGAAAATCCATTCCGCATTTTTATTGCCGCTCTACTTGTACTGTAATGTATTTCAATGGAGCCCATGCAAGTCAATAATTCCTGGCTCCCATTATTTCCAATGGGCCTTCAAGTGTTTCCCATTGTTTCCAATGGACAATCCTGGCTTTCCTTTTAGTACACCCCCTTCACAAATGCACTGTCTTTTGGGAAGAAGACACACACTCAGCAAAGATATCAGCCTGAGCAGGGGGAAAATTAGATGCATGAGATTCACCATTAGGCCCTTTAGGACCTCCAGAAATCATCCTCGCCTTTGTCCTACAACACTATCCTATGATCCAATTTCAGTTTCCCTTCTGGCTCCGAGTTTACTTCGAAACTTTAATCCCATTCATTAGGAAGGATTCCAGTCAACGTTCCCTTTATTTTTTCCAACTATTAAGCAGAGTAGTTCACATCCTGAGCAGAATATAACTGCTCTAATCTTAAAATGGGCAGTGCAAGACTCCGCGAGGCTCCAGACGGCTGCTAAGCGGGGCTTCCTGTCTTAATTGAACGGTCGCTCGTGTGCACATTTTAGAGGGACCACTAGTTTATGTCTACTCTGCTCCTTCCTCCCCATCGTCCCAGGGAGATTACATTGAATGGCAACGAACACAAGGCAAGACGGCCACCCAACACTCCTAGAAACAACTTTCATCCCTTCCTTCCCCTCCCCCACCGGGACTTACCCGCGAAACAACCCACGTGGCCTCTCAAGACAGGGAACCCCAGAGGTCACGTGATACCCGCTGTTCCCACTACGAGGAGGCGGGACCAGGCAAGTCAGGTGACCATTCTGCATTGAAAGAAAAAGGAAGGCGCTTACTGCCATCATTGATCCGGGCAAAGGGAAACTCAATATTTTTTTTATCATGCAACGGTACTTCAAATAAAGACCTTTCCCCTTAATTCCTTATTCAGAGGGAATTCCCCTACCGCTCACCTCTCTTTCAACATGGCAGGTAAAAGTACTTGCCCAGACGTAAAGTGACAGCCGTAAGAATACTTTCCCGGCCTTAACATGGCAGCCAAGACCACCTGCCCGGGATTAACACGATAGCCAGGTACACTTCTCTGCTCAGCCACCCAAAACGTCAAAGTGTCTTCTTTCCCCGCCCACTTCCCTACAACCCTACACGTGTGCTTCTTATTGGTTCGGAGCGTGGCGCATTCCGATTGGTCCACGTGCTGACAGTCCGAACGGTGAGGTGCCTCACGAGCGAGAAGCGGATTGGTTAGAGCGGGTGAGCAGGGGCGGGGATGGGGCGAAATTCTGAATGGCCTTAGCGCTGAGCCGGCTGCTTGAGTCGTTTCTTTATGAAATCATGCCTCGGGTGGGGTGGGCAGAGGATGGAGCCGACTGAAGGGAAAAGAGGGCACTGGTTGGCAGCGCTAGCTATGAGGCGGGTGCCTGGCTTGGGCGTTTGCAGGGCTGCGTGTCAGTGGCGGCTGAGTACTGTCTCTTTGCCCCTCTTTGTCTTCTTCCTCCTCGTTTCGCCACTGGGGCTGGCCGCTTCACAGCTACGCCAAAGGCAGGCCTGTAGTACTTGCCGTGGAATAGCGGACCGGTTCAGACAGGTAAGCGCGGTTGTTCTATGCATACGTGATAGTGAGCACGTGTGTACTCAGCGAGAAGAGTTCTCTGCCAGTGACTCCGCGTACATGCTGCGTAGTCGTGCCTCCCTCAGTGAAAAAGCCGGGGCATGTGTGTTTTAGATTTAAGACTGGTCACTAGTGTCTGGATAAAGACGAGGTTTAAATAGTGCGTTCAGTGGGCATGTGTTAAATGTGGAAAGAGGATTTACTCAAATGCAAGGCTAGTTTTTCTTCTCAGGTATGCCAGCAAATAAAAAAGGAGGGGGGCATCTTATGTTTGCATACAAGTTACAGTTATGTCTGTACTTCTGTTTGTGTATATGACGTTTTTTAATGGTTTGTCTTCCTTTTTAGTAAGTACTGTAAGAGCTATTCAGTGTGCATACAAAGGTATATTAAATGTGTGTGTGTGTGTGTATGAGCATGGGTCGTGGGTTTTCCCCCCTTATTAATTCATGTGGCATTCAGTGCAAAAATGTTATGTTTACCAGTACTGGTCCCTGATTTTATTTCTCAAGTAAATGCATATTGAATTTTTCTTACAAACAGATATGTGTATGCAGGGTGTATGTGTTCAGCGTTATGGGCGCCTAGAGTTACAGGGAGAGCCAAGCTCACTTTCTCTGTGGATGTGCAAACTGCCTTTGTAAGCATTGTTGAGTAATTCTCATAGAAGAAAAAACTGTACTGTTCCTTATTAATTCTTATCTATAGCTGACTTCTGAAGCCTTTGATGGAAAGGCCAGGAGATACAGAGATGAGCTAGGAAAGAATTGAGTGTCAATGGAAGTAAGTTGAAGCTAGGTGAAAATCTCTTTAACTTGCTCGTTCTGAAGCATACAGGTCTTCTGCACTACACTTATACCTTTGACTTTATGTTGTAAAATGATGGCAACAGGTGGCTGTTGTTTACAAACATTTGTATTGTGCTTTTTATAGAACTATAACCAAGGTGGTTAACAGTACAGACAATAAATAACAATAAACCATAAGTCAACAATTTAAAAACCTGCAGTAAAACATATAAGGTTAACAAAATGAAATTCAGTTTAAAAATGAGGCCTTAATGAGTCTTAAAGGGCTGAGAAAGTTTAAAGATCTTTGCTTGGTGCCATGAACCTCATGACAATGAACATGTGTACAGTCAGTGTGCATGAGACTTTTTAATTGTGTTACACTCAACATATGTACAGCTAAACATGTGACCTATACTCCACATTTATCTGTGTAGCCCCAATCTGTTGTTTTAGGTATCATCAGATGGAGGCCAGATAGAGGCCAGATGTCGCAAATAGTATATAGAGTTAGCGTTTAGTGGTGGTTTGTTTTGTTGTTTTAAATTTGATTGGTTCTGTAAAACCACCTGCCACAATTTTGCATGAAAAAAATGTTAGTATCTTTGTAAGTGGGGACCTGTGATACTTGTGGGGGGAATCCCCCCCCATTGTTGCTGATTCCCCTTACAGCTCAGTTGGGGATAGACACTCATTGGGGGGGGGGGTGATCCTGGCATGGTTCCTAAGTCCAGCATCCTTCTCCACCACTGCTGGGCCGGCATCTTCCACAGCTGGGCCCATTCCTCCTCTGCCACAGCTGGGCCCAGTGCAGCTGCCGGCATCCTCCACCACGGCGAGCTGGGGGAGGAATCCCATATCCCCCCCCCCTCATGCCAAGTGTGATACGGCTCCTGAGCCCAGCATCCTCTGCCGTCATTGTGGCTCCCAGGCTGCCACGCCTCTGACTCTGGGCCCAGTGTGACTTCTGGGCTGCTGCATCGCCGCATGCCAACTCCTACACTGATATGCCACCACCTCTGGGTGCAGTGCTGCTTGCTGTGCTGCCGCCAGGCCCAGCACATCTCCCAGGTGACCACGCTTCCACCACTGGGCCCAGCCCAGCTCCTGGGCTGCCGTGCCTCCAATGCCAGGCCCAGCATGCTTTCCAGGCTGCCATACCTCTGCTGCCCGGGCCAGCATGGCTCCCAGGCTGCCGTGTTGCCAGAGGTAGGTGCGTTCTCTGCGCTTGTGTAAAAAATGCTTTTTTATTTTGACGGGAATTTAAACTCTCCACTTTTTTTTTAAAGTCAGATTTTTCTGCAAACCTGGGGTGGGGTCCCCTGTGTTTTCAGTAACATCTGTTTAGCATCTGTGTGGCCCCAATCTGTCGATTTAGATATCTGCAGATGGAGGCCAGATGTTGCACATGGTATATAGATTTAGTGTTTAGTGACTTCTCAGTGATGCAATAATGATAGTCAATCATTCTTGAAAAATGCTGGTGCTTTAAAGTATTAATTTCTGTTTGGCAGGGACTAACAGATACAGCCAAAAAGAACTTTGGAGGTGGTAATACTGCTTGGGAAGAAAAAACCCTATCTAAATATGAGACCAGGTACAGTGTGTGTGCATTTTCTTCTTTCAACAAGGGAAAATTCTTGGCTGCAATTTATAATATGCCTGGGACCAGATGAAGCAGTATATGTAAGTTGGGAGCATTTTAATCTACTGCAAAAGTTGAATTTTAATTATGAAATATGATAGCTTGTTAGTAATATAGCCAGTAAAAGCTGTAAGGCTGTTATCCAGCCACCATTTTCTGTAATACATGGTTGATGTTTGATGCCAAACTTTGAGATTTTCTCACTAGGCTGTTGCTTGTTCATTGTTGTGCTCTTTCTTGTATTTCTGCTGTAGAAAGAAATGGACTAAAAATCATGTACTGGGTTAAATAGGTTGAAAGCGTCTGTGAATCACTTCTGATGTCATATCTCACATAGGCCTTCTTGCATGTGTATTCCCACATCCTTTTTTTTGGTTTGTGTTATTGGTAGCTTGCTGGAATCCGGCAAGCTGTGTGAATTGCCTCCAGATGACTTGAAATCATAGTTTGAAGTGTGTTTGTAGTCATGTTTGGTGGGAAATCCTGTTTAGTGATAAGGCATAGCTTGCCCGGTTCAAAAGTTACACCATGCCCTGATTACAGCAGACAAGAGAAAAGAGGAGAGAATTGGAACCTGGATGCAAGAAGTGGAGAGCATGTAAGCCCATGGGGTGCACCTGGCAGAAGTGACCTCTAAACAGATCTCTGTCTCATATGCAAAGGACTGCAAGCCATTCTCCCCATGGAGGTGCTTCTACTGTCCATTCTTGTCTCTTCTATCTGCCTATCCTTGACAGCCAAACTTCTGTGAGGCTCATTTGAGACCGATGGTGTTTCTAATACCCTGGTCTTTGTTCTTACGTCAGGGTCTAGAGGCAGGACTTTGCAAGGAATTTCTATGGAAGTATAAAGTGCCATGAAGTTGCAGCTGATTTATGGCAAGCCTGTGGGGGTTTTAAGGCAAGAGAGTTTCACAGGTGGTTTGCCATTGCTTGCCTCTGCGTATTGACCCTGGACTTCCTTGGTCAACCCTGCTTAGTGTCCAAGATCTGATGAGGCTGGGCTAGCCTGGGCCAACCAGGTGAAGGCAGGAATCTCCATAGCCCTGTGCTGCTAGTTTTACCCAGTCTACTCTGCATGGTAATCTGAGCTAAGAAGTAGGATTAGGCTGAAGGGGGGTAGATGGGAGTAGCACTACGGGAAAGTAGAGGAAGAATGGGACACCTTACATCTCTTCTGTCCTGGTTCCCTCCTAGAGCTGTTTGTGGCCTGCAAGGACTCAAAAGCTTATTGTTGCTTAAGAACTATCAGGCACCCTTCCAACTCTTGCTTCGATATGAATTCTTATCTCAAACACTAGCAGTTAAGCATAATCAAATATTCAGTTCAATAGGAAATAACTTCCTAAAGGTGCCTTTCTTTGTGCGTAACCCCTACCTGTGTGCATGTTGACCTTTCAGTTGACTGCACATGCTAGATGTAAAATGCTGCTGTTTTGGATTATAAAATGAGAACTGCCTATCTTCAAACTTGTGAAAGTAACTTTATCGGTTACTAGGAGAATCTGTCCCTGGTGCCAAAATGTCTGCACCAACAAGTTACTTTGTCTTGAATATACAAATTAGGCTATGTAACACACCAGCTCTTGGCCATGTATTTGGAATATTGTCTATGAAGTCCCCCCTTTTGTCCACAGCTTTTTGGGCTCTGGGCTCTCTGATATCATCTGGGAGCATTGAGTTCTGTTGCAGCCAAAGGGTAGGAAAACATTTGGACAGCTAATTAATTTCCAAATAGTAAAGACCTCAACATCAGAGGCTTGAAATAGCTGACCAAGTTTTATTACATTTTCGTGTCAGGGTAAAGTACTATGGATTCTACAGTGCTTTCTCTGGAGACCCTTTGATTCATACCTAGGCTCTTTAAAGGAGTCCATAATATAATATTTAGCGGAAGGGGTACAGTTCTATGAGAGCAAGCAATCTGAGTCAGTCATTGTGAATTATTCCTTTTTTCACAGTTGTAAGATCCACATTGATTTTCCACAAGCTGCTGCCCCGTGCTCGCTCTTCCCTTTGCTCCGATCCTACGTGTCAGTTTCACACCATGTGCTGCGCGGCTACATTTTGCCCCACAGCTTCGCCCGATTTCCCCTGCATCTACTCAATCCTCAAAAAACAGGATTGAGTAGACGCGGGGGAAATTGGGCGAAGCTGTGGGGCAAAATGTGGCCATGCAGCACATGGTGTGAAATTGACACGTATGATGAGGCAAAGGGAAGAGTGAGCGCGGAGCAGCAGCTTGTGGAAAATTGGTCCCAGTGCAGGAAAGTGGGAGACAGAAAAGAAAACTGGTAGGTAGGGTTTGGTGGTCAAGAGCCCCTTGGAGGTCCACCTAGCAAACGTAAAGCCCAGTCCCGTGTTATGTTGGAATGGAATTGAGTGGGTGTGTCTTGTAAATAACTGCATAGATTTGCATCTCTAAAAGCAAGCATATTCCATATTTCTGAGCAACGTTACCCTTTCTCTGAATTAAACATTGTTTATGATACTTCTGTGTTGCTTTTAAAGGAGTGCATGGTGGTGTATATTGTGCTTCCCTCTCACAACAATCCTGTGTGGAGGGTCTACTTGAAAGATCATGTCTGGCCCAAGTTTACCCAGTGAGCTTTCATGGCCAAGTGGGGAACTGTACTGAGGTCTCTCCATCTCATTCAGACACCCAAACCTTTAAATATATTAAACTTTCTGTTTGCAGTTTACTGCTGTATTGATTGCTTATGTTTTCAACTTTTTAGTGAGGCATGTGGATTTGCAAATATAGTTTTTATGTAACGTAATAGAACCTGAATTGCAACCTGAATATCGCAAACATGTTACCGTCATTATTGTTTCCTTTTGTCATTATTTAGTGAAATTCGACTTGTAGAGATAATAGAGAACCTGTGTGACAGTAGCAACTTTGAATGCAACAACATGGTCGAAGAGCATGAAGAACACATTGAAGCTTGGTGGTTCAAATGGTAAGTAGGAAGGCCATGGCACAACATTCCTTTGCTGGAGATAAAGGGATAGTGCTTTGGTAGTAGACTTTAAGCTCTAGGTAAAGTAGCAATGCCATGCCAAGTTAATGGGTTCCCTAGATATAATGACATAGTATGTCTGAGGGTCCTAGATGAGAAATGCTATTGCCATAGGTTTCTTTTACATAGCAGCAATTGATTTCATAGCAGCAATTTTGAAAACCAACTGTATAAATATGAATGGGCTTGATGCTTCTGACTTCCATCTTCTGCTCTCTGTTCTGTAACATAGTATATTTAGAATGGAGGTGGCTACAACTCGAACAGCACAGTTGAGGGCAGTGTAAAACACAGATAGTGGGATACCCTGTTAAATCCATGGTTCTTTGTAAATTCCCCAGTCCCGTGTTTGAAAAATATGTGAAGCAGCTGGCCTGTTGTGCTTCGCCCCCAGAATCAACAGGTCAGCCTCTATTTGTTTTGCATGACCAATCTAGGTAGCTGTCAGGGTAGCAACTAATGCTCCCTCTAAGCTGTTGAGTCTTGTGAGCAACAATTCTACTTTGTGAGCTACTGGGATTAAAGTTGTGAGCGAGTGATTTGGCCTCTGCATAAATTAGTCTGCTCTGGAGCAATCCTTCCTGAGCTAAAACAAAAATCAGTGAGCTGGAGGCTAAAAAACTGTGAGCTAGCTCAGACTAACTCAGCTTAGAGGGAACATTGGTAGCAACCCTGTACTAACTTGCGGAAGAAACGAATGAGAAGCTTAACTCCCCTGCATGGGCCCAATGCTTTCTTTTCTGGGCAGCATTCAGTTGAATCCAGAGGTTTGTGTTAATGCTCCTGCAGTGCACGTGATGAAGTTTGTCAGCATTGCTTGGTAGGAATCCGTGATAAGGTTCTTATTAATTCCAGATCAGACCTGCTTCATTTGCCACTACAGAAGACAGTTTATCTAACTGCCAGCCCTGACAGCTCCACCTGGGATCAGAAGGGCAAGTTGTTCTTCCTTGTATATCCTCACTTAGCTCTAGAAATCTCCAAGCCAGCTTTTGCCTTCAGTTACATCTGCAAAGCTTTGTTTTTCTTCAAAGCTGTGTTTTAAAAACCTCAGCTGTTAATAGCTTTATGCAAACCTTGGTGATGCAAATGTGTAAATTGTGTTAGAATCGAACTTGCTATTTTGAGCTTTAGGGTTTGATAGGTATGAGGTTAAAAAGATAGTTCAGTTCAGCTATGTGAATTAATTATGATTCTGAATAAAGGGAGGATCCAACTTAAATGCTGGGGTTGTACACTTTGTGTTCTTTCATACCCCAAATTGTGTTCTATATGGCAGTAAACCAGTAATCCTTTAAAACTGCATACTTATGACTAATAACCCATGCAATGATATTAACTGTTGAACACAGTCTCTTCCAAGTGTACTGTACATAGAAGTACTGAAATATGCAGAAATTGACTGCATGTTAGCAGCTAATAAAATTTATTGAATATCCTCCTCAGTCTCAACACAGAACTATCCGTGGAATTGGGGGGGGGGGGGTTAGGCATACTTATCTGTGGCTGTCTTTGTTTAATATAAAGAAAGGATTACCTAAGTCTGGAATCGTCATATTAAGCAGTTAGAAGTTAATTGACGTAACTTGTAACTCTCCCTACACATGCAAGTACGCACAGCTACCAAGCAGAACCACATGTTTGGTGGGTAGAAGTGATCTAACCCATTGTAAGCCATGAGTTCTGTAAAGCAGAAAGGCAGCTAATAAACCTTTTAAATAAACAACCCCAAAATGAATGAAAGAAGCATGGGAATCTCTTTTACCGTTGAACAATAGTGTTCAAATGTGTGTGTGTGGGAGGAACTCCCCTTGTTTATACGCTTTTTCTTGTAGTAATTAACCTCAATAATTCTGTGTTAGTGGGAACAAATAGATGTTCTAATACTCTGGGAGTATTAACCAACAAGATAAAATCAGAACAATGTCTACAAGGCACAACTTAATCATAATACACAGCTATTTCCCTGCAAGATTACATTAGTCCTTAACTATTAGAACGTAACAATGTAAAATAAAGCGGCTCAGTCTGTTAGTTTATGATATCTTTTAACAAAAGCTATGAATGTCTGTATATTACCCTGTGGTGTGCGTACTTGCTGAATAGCAGACTAGAAGTGCAGTGGTCATCTTCCTTTACGGGTAGTATATTTGTGTACAATACAATATCTGTAACTAATGTAATGCTGGTGAAAAATGTAAGAGCAGTGTTCTAAATTATCTATCGAGCTGACTGGTACTCAAGTCAGTCTAAGCATACTGTATATTTCTTGCCACTAAAGCTGAAGACAAGCTTCTTGTAACAGCACTAACCTGTGATCATGCCTTTCAAGGAGCAACCACGAATGAAAACCATATTTGCCAATTGTGTGATATATGGCAAACAATCTGTAGGGAGATGGCCACGGTGAACTATTGCTTGGAAAGTGTTCTGCTCATTACGTGTTTGAATAAAACAAAATATTTAACTACTGTTAAAATCTTTTACCAGAACAGAGCAAGAGTCCAGTAGCACCTTAAAGACTAACAAAATATGTGGCAGGTTATGAGCTTTCGTGAGTCACTGCTCACTTCGCGGGGAGGGCGGGATATAAATTAAATAAATAAATACTTCTTCAGATTACCAGAACATCTGTTTCTTTTCATATGTTGTACCTCTCTTTCTTCCTTTGTTTTAAAAACACTAGAATAACTTGCACGTTTGCCACTGACTGTACGTTCTTGAAACGAAGATGTCCAGTGCAGATTATGTAACAGGCAACAGTGTTTGTAAATTTATAAGAGAACACCAGAAGTAAAATAACTCATCTGGTCGCTTTCTACTCCTCTGAGTAGCTCACACTGACCAGGTTCTTTTCATGATTCTAGTGGGATTGAAACAAATTATACACACTGCTGATTTATAAATCCAGTTAGTTCATTAAGCATAATTGCACACTATAATCACAACAACAAAGTATACACAAACAAGTAAGTTATATAACCTCCCCGCTTCCCCCAGGTACTAGTGGTGCCAACAGAAAGTTGCAATGTGGCCAGCCATTCACTGCAGCAGTAGAGAGCACATTTGATTTAGATATTCCCGTGGAAGGCAAGGAGCAAGTAGACACCTATGTTTATGTCCAGCTTTGATCTTCCTACATTGGAAAAAATAGAAGCAAGCTTCTTGAGATTCTGTCTACTATGTTCCACCTGGCCTGGAGTACTGTGAGTCCCTATTGGTCAGGTACTCCACAAATTTCAGTGTTTCTGCTGCTTTCAGTGGACACATCAGAAGATCAGTCACAATGTCTTCCTGCAGCTTTGTCTTCTGTACCTGCTTTGTCCACTTTTGTTAAGAGCACAGTTGTATTCATAAGTAAAGAAAGGATTTAAGCAAGATTTGCTATTGCAGTTAGCTCCAGTATGACTTCTTAGCACATCTGTGAAAGACCTATAAAAGCCTCCTTAAGGGTGATGGGTTGGGCAAAGGCAAAATGTCAAACTGCTGGAGGTGTGAATCCTCACAACCCCAGAATAACGCTACCAACAGTCCCTTTAACTACCCTGTCAGCCACAGACCAAGGGACTAAGCCTCCAGCCCTCCTGGGTCTAATACCAGAGTCACCCCGGCAAGGTAGGACACTTACAAGGTGAGTTTCAGAAAACAGTTATTCTGGTAGCTGTAGCCAATATGGCGTAAGTACTGGATTCGGAGTGAAGCCCCAAAGCACAAGAACACAGAGTATATTTAAAGTGATTTATTAAAAGACTATTGCAGGAATAGACAATATATACACAGTGAACAGTGAGGACAGAATAATAAAGCTAAATATCTAACCTAAACATTGGTTTTAAATCCAGATATTACCTGATAAAATTGAGTCCAACAGAGTTTCAAGTTCCAAGATTGACTCTGGCCAGTGTGGCCCACCCAGAATCAAGTGTCCCAGACAGGGCTATTTGTGGGCAGGAACGCACAGGAACAGAGTTCCGGATGGCTTCAGAGTTGGCCACGCCTACTACAGCCAAAATCTCTGTGTGCGTGGCTACAGAGGGAAGGGGGCGCCTGGGCAAGCCAAGGGAAGGCAGTTTAAACTGCTTTCCCTTCCCTCCAAGGTCTGGCGTGCCCGGCCTCCCCGCAGCCATGGGGTGCCCAGGCAAGCCAAGGGAAGGCAGTTTAAACTGCCTTCCCTTCTCTCCGAGGGCTGGCTTGCCCAGGCTCCCTGCAGCCATGGGGTGCCCAGGCAAGCCAAGGGAGGGCAGTTTAAACTGCCTCCCCTCCTGTCCAAGGGCCGGTTTGCCTGGGCTCCCTGCAGGTGTGGGGCACCTGGGCAAGCCAAGGGAAGGCATGGGGTGTGGCCTAATATGCTAATGAGTTTCTGATGTTGGGTGTGGCCTATTATGCTAATAGGTTCCTGCTGGGTTTTTTCTACCAAAAAAGCCCTGGTCCCAGAGTTAGATATAATCCAGACAAACAGCAAAACGCCAATGAAAAATCTTTCCTTTATGCCCAGTTGTAATGTTTTCTTGAAATAACTAAGCCGTGCGACTGGCAGTTTGATGTATATAGATAGGAATAGTCAAGTCAATCCACATAAGCCAAATAATCCAGTGCAGAAGATAACCTGGTACAGTTGGAGCAGCTGGATGAAGCTGTTTATCTGTCACCATCTTGCCTCTTAATCAATCTCCAACTACTTATGTCTTGCTTCCAGATACTTACTAAATTGACTTTCAGTAACTGTTTAGTTTAATCACAATTTAGCAAACCTTCTTCCAAGCGTGTAAATCTGTTTTACAACTGGAAGCATTCCTATCGAAGGAAGCAAATCTTCAGTTCCTTAGCCAAATTATGACTTGGCTATGGGATGGGTGTTTTAGTGTCCTTAATTTTATAGTTCTTGGGACTTCCGGGGTAAGGCCGTGACACCGCATGTGCGGCTCAGGACGCTCCCAAGCTCACTCGTCCTTTTTTGCTTTTTTGTACTTTCCCGGTCTGTGCGACCTTGCGGGGACTCACTCAAACTCCTGGAGGGAGCTTTGGCAGCAAAAGACTTTTTTGGCTACCCCACAGACAGTGGTTTGTGGTGGTGAGAGTGTTTTGTCCAATGCAGAAGCAGGAAATGGAGCAGAACATGACCGCTGTGATCTGCACTAGTCGTGACCACCCGTTTTAGAGACTTCCTGGATATTCAACATAACATAGCGTACAACATGAAAAAGGAAGACTTGAGCACTTCAAGCAAAAAATAAAATAAAAGGACTTGCAATTAAATACCCCAGCATCGAAATACCCAGAACTCGAAAGGAAAGCGGCTGAGAACAGAATGGGGCTAAAGAGCGATTAAAACATGGCAGGGGTAAGAAAACTAATATTGTTTCTTTAAAAATACTACTGATTAAAGATAATGACTTTAAAATACTTAGGTTACATGACCCTGGAATCTTATTAAGCATTGTGGTAGAGAATATAAGTAAATAAGAAAATGGCTTCAGTAATGAGTAATGAAGAGGCAGAAATTGGGGAGTCGACAGAGATTGGATACCTTTTCTTGGGAACAGTTCCAGAGGATATTAGTGGAGGAAATTCAGCAAGCGGTGAAATCAGCATTTAAAAATCTTATGGACAAGCCTCAGAGTTCTTCTTCGGAGCTGGACAATGGGAAAGAAACAGAGTTCTCTCAGCAGAGCTCTGAAGAACAACAGGTTTTATATCAGGATGAAGTCTTAAAGGATATGATACCTTTATATATGGAGAACGATGAGAGGAAAAGCAAGCACATGTGTAACTGGGAAGAAACAGCAAGTTCTGCGGTAGAGTTGGAAGTAGTGAAAGGAGTCCCTCAGGATTTTTCACATAAAAAAATGATTAAGTTGGATAAAAAGAAACCAAAACATTGTGTCAAGAGAACCTACAAGGCTAACAAATATTTAAAGATGAGACTGCTGAAAAACAGAAGGAAGAAACTAGAAATGAGGATTTACAGACACAGAACCAAGAAATAAAAAACGAGGATTTATAAATACGAAGCCAAACTAGGCTTGTGGAAATACAAATGGGAGAAGCTGGAAATAAAGATTCACGTGTACAAAGACGAAAGGCATCTGGACATGATAGTTTAAAAAAAGGTGTAAAGGAAAAATAGGGGATAGAAAATGTGTAAAAATGATAATTGGTGTTTTAAATTCTCCCTTTTTTGTCTACATTTTCACCTAAGTATATGCTTCATAACTTGTAATTTGAGAATAAGATAATGAGAAGTTGGATGTTAGCTACGATGAATTGAGATGATTATATTGAAAGTTTTAGAACTTGAAGATGAGAATTTTGGGTTAAGTTAAAAATGCACCTTCCTTAATGTTTTATTTTCTAATAATATGTATAACATAAAAGAATGGAATGGTATTATATATATTTACAGTAATAAGTAGGAAGGTTAATTATTATTTTGTGATTGCTACCTCTCATAATCCTTAATATTATATAAGTAGTAACTCTTTTACTTTTGGATTTCCTCAAATAAATATTTTTATTTAGTGACTTAAGTTGGGGCTATTTAGGCTAAAAGTGGTTACTGGCAAATATTAAAGAAAATGTTTATATAGCGAAAAATATATGTATATTGATAAAAATGCTATATTTAAACAGGCTGGTAATCCTGATAACTCATTTACATATTTGTTAGATTAGCTGAATATACTTAACAGTGATGCCAAGATAAGAAAGAGAAAAGCTAATCTGGCTGGGAAAGTAATTTGTGGGTTATGTTTGAATTCTGAAAAGGGTGTGTAGAATTGATTTATTTAAGAATAGTGAAATATAAATGGAACTTTGTAAAAAATTTATTTTTGTTAAAAAGTTTTGAAATAGCTTTTAAGCAGGAATTGAGGACCTGTTGTGAGTATAGGAGGAAATTATAACAAAGTTGCTATGTTATGTATGATTTATTTTCTAAGTTTACAATATTTCGTTTTCTTTTTATGTTGGAAAATCAATAAATAGATTAAAAATGTTTTATAGTTCTTGGATAACAATACCTAATTATGTAACAACAAGTTGAGGCAGATTTTGCAATCAGTGTTAGAAAACAAATTAGCATAATTTTGTTTTGCTTATAATAGCTTGCTGTCATGTAGGAACTTCTTGTTGTCGATCTTGTTTCTGAACCATTGTAACTCTAGGCATGCCAGGAGGTAAGGAAGAAAATGGTTCCATTAGCCAACAGCATCTCCTTTCCAAAATAGGACTGAGCATTTCAAGATGCTTCGGAAGAGTCTAGGAAAGATCACCTTTGCAGCTGCAGAGTGAACCCATTTGGAAACAGTTGCCTCCCCCTCTTGATGTGGAATCTCCCAATATTTTGTGACTGGTCCCACCTTGTGCACCTCCTTATCCATTTTCTTCCTGAAATCCAACAATTTCACTCCTTTTCTTTTTTCAGGCATGCGGAGTCTGTTTTGATTCAGTTCCGTTTTGAATCAAAGATAAATTCGAGGGCAGGAAGGGAGGTTCGGCAAAATTTCAGAATTTCATTCTGCAGACATTCAGAGGCAAACAGTGTCCCCCCCAAACTTTCCTGTCCTCCTGCTAGAGGACCCTGTGGTGCATAAAATAAAACAAATCCTGCAAAGGCTGCATTTGCAAAAGAACACATGGACAACCATTATGTTTTGTAATGGAAAACTACAAAGATATTGCATTGAAACAGAAAGAGAAGAGGAATTCATGGCTGTATCTAAAAGAAATGCATCTCAGAAACAGAAATTGCATTCCCCATAGCAACTTTGTGTTTGCTACCCTTTCAGAAGTGATCATGGACTCAAAAAGGTTGTGAATCTCTGGGATAGAGTGACAACTCAGATTGGTACCAGAAGGGAAGAATAAGGAACATCATGTTCTGTCTTCTCTGTGCAGTAGTGAATGTTCTTTGTTATGAAGAATGGTGTGAGGTGAAGAAACTTGAAGCAGAAAAGTCATAAGCCAGTGCTGTGAATGTATAAACCCAGTACAGGTGGCTGTTCAGATCTATTGCACACTTTCATAAGGAGTTTGAGGCTGATCTGTCATAGGCACAGACGAGCTTTTTAGCCTTGATGTTCTAGAGCCTTTGTTATAAAGTTGTTACTTTTTTTCTGAACTAAGCAAAGTTACTGTTGCAGATATGTACAATTAGAAATACAGGCATCTTAAAGCTTGCTTTAAAATAAATGTCATGTCTTTACAGGAGAAAGAAAAACACAGATTTGTTTAAGTGGCTTTGTATAGAGAAGATTGAAGTTTGCTGCCCTGCTGGGACCTATGGACCTGATTGTCTTGGTAATGAAGAAATGACAGTAATAAAGTATTGAAATGTATTATGCCAGGGTGCTCTAGTTTTGTTTCTTCAGTGCTGACATATTAAAGATTAAATCATACATGAGGATGTGATGGGCAGAGAAGAAGACTGGTACATTGACTGGTACAGCTAGAACAGCTGCCTGAAGTATAAAATGGGCAACCCCAGAACTATCCTCTGCCAACTAAGCATTCCTAGGATAATTTTATTTGCTGAACTACCCCTCGGTCATATTAATACTGTTCCTGAGACTCATTGGGTTGGTAGCAGCAAAAACAACAGAAGAATCTCATGGCACCTTGAGGACTGTTGTGTAGGAATAATGGCTTGTGGGGAGTTTTGATATCAGCAGGGGTCTAGGACACAATAAACTCCAGGGAGTAACTTCCTATTGTAGTTGGCTAGAAATGAAATTAAACTTATGACCAACAAGCTTAATTGCAGTAAGCAAAGTGTTAGGAAGATTTGTACTTGGTTCTGCGCTGCTAAAATCTTAAAATCTTGCTCTGTGTCATTTAAGCGTGCCTCGGTGGGTCAGAAAGGCCTTGCCATGGGAATGGCCGATGCGATGGAGATGGCACTCGAGGTGGTGATGGGTCATGCAGCTGCAACAAGGAATACAAAGGAGAATTTTGTTTAGAATGTGCTGATGGCTACTATAACTCACACAGAAACGACACACATTCCGTTTGTACAGGTACATAAATATACTTATGATGCATTGCTTATGCTTTTGTAAGTATCTGGTTCTGAATATTGAAGGATTTCTATTTTGGTTGATGTTCAGAACTAGGTAGGTAAGCAGTAAAATCAGTTTTGTTCCATTGAATATAATGGGAATTATTGGCACACAGTGCAAAACCACCAGTTTATGTGTTCTGTTGATTGCAGACCAAATGTAGCAAATTTTGGAGTCAGTAACCTGATAGACTATTATACGGTGGCTTTTCAGTAGTGCACTTTATAGTGTTATACTGTCAAGTTTATTTTAAAAGCCTAATGAAGTGTTAATTTAACTGAACTAATTATTTTCACCAGGGTTTTGCTTAACTTCTAAAATTAGTTTGATTATATCAGCTAACCCATATTCAGTTTAAAATATCGCTCTATGGATTGGATCCTTTTCCTCTAACAAATACTCTTCTGTTGAAAGCTGATGCAGGCATGCATCAAAATGTAGACTGAACTGGGTGGACGTGCCTCTGACTTGTTTAGGATTACATTGGACTAGTTCCTCATGAGCAAACTACTGGTGTAATGTGGGAATTGGGTGACTGACACAAGAAATTGTTTGACGTGTGACCTACAAGATGACTGCTGAGGATCTTTATGTAATGTACTGATGCGTGCATGTGTGGGTGGGGGAACTGATATATGAGGAAATCAAGAGAAAGCATTCGTGAGATATAAGCCAGGTATCACTATATAAAGTGTGTGCATGTGTGAATCCTGTCTATGAGCTGTATATTTTGGTAAACCATATTAGTAAATTCTGTGTAATGTAATACTATGTTCTTAGGATCTAAAATATTGCTTTCTCGTCATAGCTTGTCATGAGTCGTGTAAAACTTGCAGAGATGCAGCGAATACAGACTGCCAGGACTGTAAAGAAGGTTGGACCAAAAACGAAAATGCCTGTGTGGGTGAGTAAGGCTGCCGGTTAGAAAATGGATCTAACAACAAGAGCTCAATTTAGAAGGATTTCCTCTTCCAGTGGAAGGTTTCTCACTTAGCAGAAGGGAACCATTTGATCCAACCCATAAGACATGTTATATGTGCTGCTACGGTTACATTCACCTCTTTTAGTGAATCCATATACTTGCTGTAGAGGTTGCTTTGGCAAAGTGTACTTTTTGAAATGGCTGCCAGCTTGTTGGGATCATAAAATAATATAATGCTTACAGGTTTAGTGCTAAAGGGCAGGATGCATCACTTACCTGGTGGAAAGAGCTCCCGGAGGAGATCCGGGCCCTGCGGGACCTTTCTCAGTTCCGCAGGTCCTGCAAGACGGAGCTCTTCCGCCAGGCCTTTGGATAGGAGCCGCCGCCGCCAGCATTCCATCTGTATCCCTATGCCCTAGCGAATTTAACAGCTGAGTGTCTTGCCCCCGGTGGGTGGAGTGTGGCACTGGAAATGGCCCTGAATACGAGACTGTCGATAGCTAGGTGAGGTTAAGATCTTCCCTCTTGCTGAAGTTTGCTATATATTGCTATATATTGGATTGTAATTTATGGTTTTAAACTATATGTGAAAGTTTTAACTATATGTTCTGTTTTATGATATTGTTTTACTTGGCACTCGGTGCCCCTGTTAGCCGCCCTGAGCGTTCGGGATAGGGCGGGATATAAATGCGAAAATAAATAAAATAAATAAATAAATAATGTTGTGGTCCCTGAAAAATGGTTCATGAAGTTTGAGGGACCCTCTGGAGAGCATCATTCTTTGAGCCATGGGATACTGCAGTTAGTTGATCATATTGGCATTGCCCTTCACCCATTAAATACTTTAACTTTATTTAGATGCTTACACCATGCTTTTCTTCCCAGTAGGGACCCAAAGCAGCCTACAACATTATTTTCTCGGGGGGCAGGCTAAGCTGAGCGAGTGTACCTGGCCTGAGGCCAGCCAGCAAGCTTCTGTGGCAGAGTGGGGATTTCAACCTGGGTCTCCCAGATCCTAGTTTGACATTCTACACTCAAATCCAACGTTCTTTGAAGGTGACATACTTCAGAACAGGGTAGGCAAACGTTTTGGCCCTAGTCCCAAACTCCTGCTGTGTCTTCCTGTAAAGATGTTGGCATGCCAGCAAGGAAGGGCAGGAAGACAAAGCCAATGTTTGGCTAGATGTGCTGGAAACAAGTTGAGCCCAAGCAAGTACCCCCCCCCCCCACTCCTCAGCTAGAGGACTGCTAAGCAAAGTGGTCTGGTGTTCTGTTCATCTGCCAAGTCTGAGTGGGTGTTTTTTTTTTCTTTTGTTCTGCATGTCTTTTTAGATGTGGATGAATGTGCTGCTGAAGACTCCCCTTGCAGCAGTGACCAATACTGTTTAAACACAGATGGCTCCTTCTCCTGCAAAGGTTTCTTTTCAGTATATATTTAACCTACTAAGTAGTACAACATTTAGCTTTGTATTGGATACAACAAAGATGACTTATGTGTCCCTTTTAGCATAGACTTTTGGAAGCTTAAGAATAAGAACATCAGAAGAACAACATTATAATGCAGTTGGAACTGAGGTTCAACAAGGTGGAAACAGTGGTGGGAAATCAGGGCAAGCAAAGGTGGTTCTGGGCGGTCAGCCAAGGGAATAAATACAAAAGTGGGAGGGAGTTAAATGATTCCAAGTAATGGAAATGGGGAGGGGGGTGAAGACAAGAGAGGGAGAATAACTGGGAAAAGATTCTGTAGACTGAGGTAGTGATGGTCTTTTTAAAAATCCTAAGTGGTCACAATGGGTGGAAGACCTAAGATAATGGACAGGAGGGGCTATCTGAAGATGATGTTTTAAGAGCTTAAGGAAGGATAGGAATAGACACTGGAAATGATCCTAATGCAAAGATCAGTGAGAGGAAAAGGTAGTTCAGATTGCAGGGGTGTGTACAGGCTACAATAAAGAATGGAGTTAAGAAAAGGAAGAGAATGAAAAGAGGAGGAATCTAACATGACACTTGTGTTGTGGCATCTTCTGCAGTTTTTCTTACAAAATTGTCTGAAGTGTTTTTTATAGCTGGTTTGTTTTGATCACTTAAGACAGGGGTGTCAAACATGTGGCCCGGGGGCCGGATCAGGCCCGGAGAGGGCTTCTATTAGGCCCGGAGTGGAACTGGCTGTCTTCTGCTTCTTCTTCCAGTTCTGCTGCTGCTGAAGGTTTGCAGCTTACAGATATACACCTGAACAGCATATTCAAGATTGCAACAGCACAGACATTTTGATGCAGTAATTCAGAGCAAGAGGTGTCAGTTATCAGACACTGTTAAATAAACAAAATATTGCAAGAATGCTAATGTTTTAAGCATGTTTTTATTTTTAGTAAATAAACCCTTTGTGTTTGTGTCCTATATAAAGTTTATATCTCCGCTACCTGGCATTACATTTTATTACACACTGGCCCAGCCCAAGAATGTCCCATTTATTTCAGATCCGGCCCTCATAACAAATGAGTTCGATACCACTGACATGTAGGTTGAAACCTTAAAGGTTTTATTTTGTCTGTTTTTAGTAACTTCTATAACTTTGTCTCAACCATGAGAGTAGTCGTTATTGTCCCTCTTTGCCTTATTTACACTCAGTGTCTGAGCTAGCTTCACAGATTTTTGCCCCCTTATATCCTAGTTGTGGTGTGTTATTGAGTTTGCATTTTGTGTTTCAGCTTGTGATATTAGCTGTTTAGAGTGCACAGGAGAAGGTCCTGGCAAATGTAAAAGCTGCATAGCTGGCTATGAAATGGAAGATGAAAAATGCACAGGTCAGTTCGCTTCTTTACACTGAAGTTGACATTTAATTTGGGGTGGGTTCCATTGGCCCTGATTCTCAGGCACTTGTAAACTTATAATAAAACATCATACACATTTCTGAACCCATGTTTTGGCTGCTTTGTGATATCATTCACTTGTGAGCTAGATGTGTGGCAAAGCAGTTACATGACCCTGCACTCTATGTGTAAGTTGTAATTTGATTAAATCAATCAAAAAACAGAAGAGCCTCTTCTCAGAGAAACCAAGAATTATTCTTTAATCCAAGGCATTCATTTCTGGAAAAACATAATTCTTTCTGCAGTTAAATTTAAACATTAACTTCTTTTTTCCTGTCCACTACAATGTATGTAAGATAATATGCTCTTTAAACTCTTACTTACTGGGGATGCTACCTGTATTCTTCCACTCCACTGAACAAACTTGGAAATCATTCATCCAGCCTAAGGAGCCTTCCTCTACCTTAAGTGATATGGGTTGAAAATATTGTTTTAATGATGATCTTGTTATATTATTCCACCAATAAAATGTTTTTGTTTTTTTTAAAGTGACTCTTCTCTTGGAAGAAGAGCCAGTTAAGTTGAAAGGAGTGTCCTTGAACGATGGTTGGATCCATCCCATTGACTTTTTAAAATATTATCATGCAGATCAGGGGAAATTAATATATGAAAGCTGAGCATTCCATGTGCTTTCCATGTTTTTGCAAGCCGTGAACACAACAGTAAGAGTTTAAAGATACGCATTCCTTAAGACCTTCAAAATGTAGTTCTTGGTTTCTTTCCATAATGGTAAGTGTGGGATAGGAGGGGGATCTGGCTGACCAGCCTTTTGACAAAAAGATCTGGGAAGGGGGGGGGGGGTTGACCATTTTTGAGCTGGAAGACTGCATTTCAGGTTCACCCAAATCTCCTTTGGTAGCACAACTAGCGGCAAGCAAGTAATAGCCATAATTTGAGTTTTGCATAATTTGGGGGAGACTGACATGGCAAAGAAACTTGTGTTATAGCTTTATGAAGTTCTAGAAAGATTGACAATCTCAACCCTAGTCAGGCAGGCTGAGAACAAGAGGGCAAAACATTCGAGCATGGTTTTACGTTTGTAATAATGCAATTGTTCATTTCGGGGGGGGGGGATATGTCTAAGTCAGGGTTCCCCAACATGCCTATGGGCACCATGGCACCTGCCAACAACTTTTCGGGTGCCTGCTAAGTGTTCTAAGAAGTGAGCAGAGCCAGGTGGGGCTTTTGCCCAGCAAGGCTTCTGATTGGCCATTGGAGATTTTAAAAATTGCTTTGGTAGCAGGTGCCACCGCGGCGCAAGGATCTGCAGTGTGTGACTGAAGGTAAGCTGTGTGTATACAAGAAACTATTTTTAAACAATATGTTCATTTTAAAAGGCATCCTCTTAATCAGAGCTTCTGCCTGAAATGTTGAAGAGTTAATATTAGAGTTATGCTTAACCTCTGTGACATTTTGTGGTTGGCTTTACCTCTTGTGGCAGCCATTTTATGGTTGTGCCTACCATCTGGTGTCAGGATTTCAAAGGTGCCCACAGGCTAAGAGAGGTTACGGCACCCTGCTCTAAGTCATCAGTTCGCCCAGTTATTTTTTTAAGTGGAATGCAGAACTTGAATGGTTTTCTTGTTTAAACGTAGAAAAAAGAATTTATTAGGGCCTGTCTAATCAAGAAGCTGAACTTTTCTTTTTTGAAAATATTACAGGATTCCTAATAGTAGATCAGATTACTTTTCTTTACTCTTTGCAGATGTGAATGAATGTGCCCTGCCTGGAAAAGTGTGTGTGAGAGACTATGAAGACTGTGTTAATACTCCCGGTGGCTTCAAATGTGTCTGCGCAGAGGGCTTTGAAGACAAGGATGGTGCCTGTGCTCCAGTTATAAAAACAGGTGAGTGTGTTTACAAACCACTGGGATAGGGAAATATGGAAAATCCAATTTTATGGAAAAATTGATAGGATCTGCAAAGACTGGCTTGGACAGAGGCACCTTTGCTGACACAGGCCCCAACCCTTCTGATTCATATATTTATTAATCTGTGGGGCTCCCGAAGACCTTTTCAAGCATGTTAAACTAAGCTTTCTTTTGAATTTGAAACTCAGGAAAAAATTATCCTAAGTGTTGAAAATCCTGTTCCAGTTGGAAAAAGGCATAAAGTGGACTGCAGTCCACCAATGTTTTCTGTCTCTCTTGCAGAAGACCACCAGCTATTTAGGATTATTGCAAAGAATGCTGGACTAGGTGAAGCTTGGCTTAATCCAGCAAACAAATCCTTAATGCTCTTAGAGTGCATTGCACTGAATAACTGAAGGCAGATTAAGTACTCCTTGCTTACAGGTGTGCTTTGTAAATTTAAAGCTCATTGATGGACTGTGAGAATTCTTCTGTTTGAAAGGGGGAGAGATAGCACACTGGACTTCAGTCAGCCCATCACTGATGGAAGATATCTGATCTAAGTAATAGTTCAAAACAAATGTATGAAATATGACAAACCCAGCATACATTTTTATGGGGAGGTGGGGGCAGACTCTTGATATTATTCAGATGTGTCACAGGGTGTCTGTTGTGGGGAGGGGAAGGGAAAGTAGTTTGTAAGCCGCTCTGAGACTCCTTTGGGTAGTGAAGGGCAGGGTATAAATCCAATCTCTTCTTCTTCTTCTAAAGAAATATGGTCTTAGTTTTAAAGGTATTATGGTCTTAATTTTAAAGGTATTATTTATTTACTATGTTTCTGTACCACTTTTCCTTGTCGCTCAAAATGATTTGTGATAACACAAGCAAGTTCTGTCACTCCTTCCCCCCAGTTGGTGTTGCTGAGAAAATGTATGAGCTTTTCCTCCAGGACAAGCGGTCTTTCGTGTGTGGGTGGCTAGAATATAAGGACGTAAGAGAAGCCGTGTTGGATTAGGCCAATGGCCCGTCCAGTCCAACACTCCATGTCACACAGTGGCCAAAAGCCAGGTGCCATCAGGAGGTCCGCCAACAGGGTCACATACATAAAAAAATTGTATGCTTAGATTGTGGAGCTGTCCAGAATATTCCCCTGGAAAGCATGAAGGGGTAGCCTCTAGAAGGTGAAATTGACCCCATGCAAACTGCATGCATGATTATCAGGGAACTGAAGGACGTGGGGCTCCCCAACCCCAAAGAGATCCAAGGAGCCTTCCTCTGTGTCCCCTCACCACATCTTTACGGTAATGCCTGTGGGCCAGCCTCCTAATGGTGATGTGCCCTTCAATGGCCCATGTTCTGACAGTTGTCTGGGAAGCAGTCCTGAGCCAGGGTGGGGAAACAAGGATATAAGTCATAAGAGGAAATTGGCTCTGTCCTTGACTAGAGGGAGCAGGATCAGGAGAGAGAGGAGGAGGGCGAGGGTGAACGATATCCTCTCTCCTGTGCCTGAGACTTGTGGGAGGGAAAACAGTGCCCCTAGCAGGTAAGGACCCACCAAGATCATGCAGATCTCTTGCACTTGAAAATGTCCTTTCTTTCCTGTATCCTAGATGATGATAATGGATCAGTGTTGACATGTATTTTTTTAACTGGGTTCTGTTACTTTTGACAGAAGAGACAGCATCAGAAAACACGTCTTCACCCGCTACCCATGAGGACTTATGATCTACATTCCAAGATGAGAGACACTGATACCCTGACCCTTAAGTTATTGCAATGAACAACTTTTAGGGTGTGTATATGGTATTAAATATGTGCTGGTTTCCAGTATGGTACTTTTTGAGTAGTGGATGATAAATTGCCCTTAGAACTGCATTTCTTCAATACATAGAAATGGATGTGGGTTTTCTGTTTTTTTAAATATGGCCATGGAATTATCTTAGAGGTAGTTGGAGGTAAATAAATTGCAGCACAGTTGAATACCTTGAACTCAGTCTGGGACTAATAGCACTTTTGTGGAATAATCTGGTAAAGGGAACTGGCAAATTCAAGTCACTTTGGACACATGGACCTTTTTTACAATTAGAGCATGCCTTTTCAAGACTGATAAAAGGGAGGCTTTGTTTCTTGGATGATACTCCTTGTACATGTAAACAGAATGTCTAATTGGGCATTCAATAAAGATTTTATTTTAGCTGTTCCATCGTGTATGCTTTGAGCACAGCATTTCCTTCATTGATCATATGTGACCAGCAGCACTTCTGATTCACATATCACTTTTTACCTTCGCTATTTCCCATCTCTAAAAGTTAGAGAATCCTCTTTTACTGAATCATAAGGTCCTTGCACTTGAATGAATATATTGAAGCACGGTGCATCTCCTAGGACAAGATAAGTCTGTAGCTCACACATAGTTTTATAGTTTTTGTGGATCAGGGCCTCATGAACTGTACGGTTCAAAAAATAGCAAGAGCATGATTGTGTTAGCACATGCATAGGAGGCAAGGGTACAACTTGTTTAAACTAGAAATTTTTAGAAACTAATTTTACAAGGGCAAAGAGCGACCTTACCAGAAGATACAGCATGGTACATCTGTCTGAAAGTTCTGTTGCTGCACATGGTCTATTGTTGAATGTATTTATAACTCCTTCAAACAATTTTTTAAGTGGGATGTGAAGTGTGGATAAAACATCCTAGCAACCCTGCAAAGGTCTGAAGCATCCTCTAAGAGGGGTTCTGTGAATGAAGTGGTATGCATTCACACCATTTAGTTATATTATTGTATGTGTGTATTTGGTGAGGTTGCATATCGGCAGACAGTAGTCATGTCACTTTTTTGGTTGATGGTAAATGTAAATTTGGCTTAAAGTGAGCTGTGCAGTGGCCTTAGTTTAACGTGTGTTGAGCATGTAGAGACAGTATAACTCCCGAACCAGGGCTAGGATTTATGAAAGTGTGCAAAATAAAACAGGAGTCAAGTGGCATCCAACCAAACTTATTTTGGCAGAACTTTCATGGGGCTGAGCTCACTTTATCAGATGCACAGAAGTATAAATATATCCATTTTTATATATCTGAGATCCAAGATCACTGCAGACGGTGACTGCAGTCATGAAATTACGACGCCTGCTCCTTGGGAGGAAAGCTATGTCAGAAAGCATAATAAAAACTAGAGACATCACCCTGTCAACAAAAGTCTGTATGGTCAAAACAGTGGTATTCCCAGTAGTAATGTATAGCTGCGAGACTTGGACCATAAGGAAGTCCAACCGCCAAAGATTAGATGCTTTTGAATTATGGTGCTGGAGAAGACTTGAGAGTCCCTTGGACTGCAAGGTGATCAAATCTGTCAATCTTAAAAGAAATCAACCCTGACTGTTCCCTGGAAGGCCAAATGCTGAAGCTGAAGCTCAAATACTTTGGCCACCAAATAAGAAGGGAGCACTCACTGGAGGAGACCCTGATGCTGGGAAAGACTGAAGGAAAAAGAAGGGGACAGCAAAGGATGAGATGGTTAGACAGTGTTATCGATGCGATGAACATAAAATTAAGCAAACTCCGGAGGATGTTTGAGGGGTGGTAAAAAGGCAGGGAAGTGAATCTCCAGGAATCTGTATACTTTTGAATTACCTTCAACTTGGCAGTGATACAGGGGGAAAATCGGCACAGAAGCAGTCTCAGAAAACCCAGTGAAACGGCAAACAGAAAGCAAACTGAACACTGAAGGGATGAAAGTCAATGCAGAACGACAAAGAAAACCTGATGGACATGCACAGTGAAAGCCGAGGGGAAACACCTGTGCATAATAAGCCTTGGTTTCTTCTCGAGACTGGATGTGCATGTGGAGTTGGCTCAGCTGTCTTCTTGAGATGCACCATTAAGCTCTAAAGTGGAGGGCAGACCTACATGACATTCTTCCAAGGGGCCCAGAGTTTATTGTATATGCTTTTAGACCGTGTGCTACGCATAAACACACATACACATTAAGGTTTTACTAGCACAGCACCACAATTGTAGATCAGCCAAACTATGCATATTCAGCACCAGGATGGCAGAAGGCAGGAGGGCCTGGCATGAGGTGGTCCGTGGGGTCACGGAGAGTCGGACACGACTGTGTGACTGAACAACAACAACAAAAATATATATACTAGGGAAGGGGGGTGGAGCTGGTTTGTGAGAGAAAGAGAAGTTGGTTCACTTGGCAGAGATGTGAGGAACTTCCATCGGTTGTGATAGTGTAAAAGCTCGAGCAGGCTATAAGGAGATAAGTAGATAAAATAAGAAGTTACAGAGTGTCAGCAAGCTGCCAATATGTCTTTTCCATGCATATGAGATGTGTCCATCTCCTCCCCTGGACTGGCTTAGACTCTTGTGTGCATTTCCCCCCTCACCCTCATGCGTTCATCTTCAACTGCATTCCTTTCCATGTACGCTAGCAGTGCTTTGAAGGAACCTTATCTGCCAAGGCTACAGGTGGTTCACGTTTGGACGCTTTTTGCTTAGTTTATAATGAACAGTAGTGTGAGAATAGAATAATTGTTTAATCAGCTACAACCGTTGCTTTCTCAGGGTTTGGGCACGCGATGAGTCCTCAGGGCGGGTGCGGGAACCATATCTATTGGCCCATGTTATTTTAAACTTGCTTTATTATACCTGTCTCAAGCACCTTGTGTTATTCTGAACAGAGAATCTGTTCTAAGTACTTCATGGCTTCAATAAAATAAAACCTTCCTGCAAGAGTGTATTTCATTGTTTGCTGTGAGTCTGACACAGAGAGAGAGCAGTAGAAATCAACATCTGTAACATGTGTAGAAACTGCAATATTTCAGTGACTCAATAGAGCAGCAACTACGTGCATAGGTGTAGTAGGTTTGGTTGGCTCAGGTCAGAAATCTGGACAGTGTTATAAAATGACATTTTCATCTTCTGGTGGAATTGCTACTGTACAGGAGACATTATCCAGATGGATAATCATTGGCTTTTGAACAGCACCCCTCAGCTCTTTTTAGTACTACCATGCAGCACTAGAACCATTCTAAATTTCAGCCACTAGAGAGAGTCCTTCAGTTGTCAGAAGCTCCTTTTACCACTCCAGTGGGCCTTCCCGGGAGAATGCACTTCTGTACTTGGTGCCCAGGTTTCCTCTTGCACTGAAGATAAGCGTTCCTAAAAAAATAATGAAATTCTCCAGGTTTACATATTGGCTGAATTTTCTCCACAACTAACTTTGGTGTGGTTGAAGCAAAGATGAAGCTTAGCAGTATAGGAATTAATTCCCAACATACTAGAGCATCACAAATTGAAGATTAGTCAATGTAGCATTTAGAGGCATTTGGACTGTCTGTAAATTACATTTGTACTCCATAGTTGGTATCCAAATTAGGGACCTGTAAGAGTAAGAGATGAACCAGACAGTGCTGGGTTTGCATAATATTATTTTATTTTGTTACAATAGCCCTCCTTGCCAAAGGGAACAAGCTTTTGAGTTTCTCTAGACGATTGCACCTAATTACAATTGAGGCTGTTGGCTTGTGGGAGAAAATTGAGTGTATAAACGAGCCTATAAAGGAGAACTGGACAGCCAGTAGGCACTCAGGCAAATGGGGTATGTCTAATTTATGCAGAGGTTAATGTTTAGAGAGCTTTGACTGGAGGAAAAAAGGACATGAGTCCAGGGTTTGATTAACCTTGCATTGCCAAGCCTGTGTTCCATGAAAGGGATGTTGACGCTTTGGTTTTGAAAGCCACTGTTTACATCCATAGCAGTTTCAGAGCAGTCTCTCTATTTTTTTTTTAACTGGCTGCTTGTTAACTTTTGTATTGCTATATATCTAGAATAGGATCAAGGCCTGCTGTAGAAACAATTCAGTGGGCGCTAGAAAGAGATTAGACATCCCCCCCCCAACCTGTTTCCCCTGATTTCTACCTGGTGTCGAGGATCAGCCGCTGGAGGGGGTGTTTGCGAAGACATGGCTCACGGAGGCTGTGGAGGGGCACCTCTGGAGGCTCAGCAGGCATCTCCTCAGCCTGGTCCCCTGCTCTCTCCGGCTGCGCTCCTGGGGGGTCTCAGGCTTGGTGCAGGAGACAGCTGAGCCAAGCGAAGCATCGCTGCAAGAAATACAGCCGCTGAGTGTTGCAGGAGAGCTGCATGGCGGGCACGAGGTCGGGCTAGGCTTTCAGGGCGGAGAAGTTCCCTTCAGGGTGACTCATCAGACCTGCGTGCTTGCCAGGAGTCCCGCGGTGTTCCAGTGACTCCATTGCCAAGGAGATGGGCGCGCCCCCGAGCCCTCCCCAGAGGCTCCTGGGAAGCACCGCCGCCCCAGCAACAGCCCCGCACGCAGCTGGGCTGGGGCGGGGAGGGGCCTCCACCGTCACCGCCACCTCCTCCTTGTCCCCACCCTCTGGGCTCAGCACTTTCAGCCGGCCGGGTGGTGGCTGTGTGGCCGGGAGTGAGGTGATGCAGCAGGGCAATGCAGGCAGTGGCTACAGACCCCTGGTGAGTGACACATCAGAGAGCCAACGGATTTTGCCATGTATAGAACGTTGCCATGCAAAAATGCTTTTATATATAAGGACAGATATTATCTAGAGTTGCTGCCAATCTTTGCCCTCTTACAAATGGCTTAAGGTTTGTTTTTTTCCTAAGGTGCTCCATGCATGTTGGGAATATGGCAGCAAAATATCTTAGCAATGAAACCTTGCTAAGAAACTTTAAAAAATCTCTTGAGTAACTGTTTCCAGAAACATAGTGGTGAGAAGTGCCATGCAGTTGCAGCCAGCTTATGGCAACCCGGTACAGTTTTCAAGGTAAGAGATGAAGGAGGTGGTTTGTCCTTGCCTGCCTCTGCATGGTGACCCTGGACTCCCTTGGGGGTCTCCCATCCAAGTGCTAACCTGCTTAACTCCCAACATCTGATGAGATTGGGCTAGCCTGTGCCGTCCAGGTCAGGGCTTCCAGAAATATCTGTGCTGCAAAAGGGGAAAATATTTCTGTGTTCCTGGCCATTTCAGCGGTGGAACAGGAACACCATCTTTGTAGAGGGAACTAGTACAGAAAATGAAGTTT